TCTCTCTCTCTCTCTCTCTCGTTTTCCCTCTCTTTCTCTCTCTCTCTCGTTCTCTCTCTCTCTCTCTCTCTCTCTCTCTCTCTCTCTCTCTCTCTCTCTCTCGTTCCCCCTCTCTCGTTCCCTTTCTCTCTCTCTCTTTCTATCTCTCTCTCTCTCTCTCTCTCTCTCGTTCCCCCTCCCTCGTTCCCTCTCTCTCTCTCTCGCTCTCTCTCTCGCTCGCTCACGGTGGGAAATATTATACAGCCCTTCAAATCTAAATATATTTTCAAGCGTATTTTCCTCCGTGTGCGCGCGAATTGTTGCGTTAATATTTGCTGTTTCGCTGCGTTGATATATATATATATATATTTATATATTTCGCTGTATGCCCGTATCCGTTGCCACGCGTGCTAGCTCCATCGCCAGAATAGAACGACGACGGTGGCGAGGACGCCTAAGAACGCTGACGACGGTGGCGAGGATGCCTAAGGACGCTGACGACGGTGGCGAGGACGCCTAAGGACGCTGACGACGGTGGCGAGGATGCCTAAGGACGCTGACGACGGTGGCGAGGATGCCTAAGGACGCTGACGACGGTGGCGAGTACGCCTAAGGACGCTGACGACGGTGGCGAGGACGGTGGCGAGGACGCCTAAGGACGCTGACGACGGTGGCGAGGACGGTGGCGAGGACGCCTAAGGACGCTGACGACGGTGGCGAGGACGGTGGCGAGGACGCCTAAAGACGCTGACAATAATTGTTTAGAGCGAAAAACGCGCGCAACGGAGCTACGGGTCGCTGGATTAACCGAAACGAGAGAGCGATCAAGCGGCGCACGTCGATTAATACAATACACAGTGGGGGGAGGAGGGGTGGGAGAATTCACCTTGCGAGAACACTCTGTCTTATAGAACACGTTGAATTCATTTATCAACCCTGGCCAAGCCACACGTAACAATGCGCATGTCAACCCCGCTGCCTTTCTTCGTCTGCTCGCATAGGGCGGATCTGTGCGTTGTGAACGTGTGCATGGCCCCGCTAATCGCCTTATGAACCTCACATGAGGCGGCGCACCGTGAACGGACGGGAAATACGAAAAGTAGCTATTTGTGTTGAGTAGCGTACGGAGTTCAACGGTCGCTGGAGGACGCTGGAGGAGGCAACTGAGATCGACATATTACGAAAATTGTATAGGCGCCTATACTGCTGCCTATACATATACGCTATCCATATACGCTATACAAATACGCTATATATATATATATATATATATATATATCTACCGTATATAAGTTGTGTCTATATGGTCGTATATACATATACACAAAATAACATTTAGGTTGCCTGCGGGGAGGGGGAGGGGGTAACCGGAAGTTAAACTTACTTCTCGAGATCTCCATCCGGCATCGTACCACGTACGGCTCCGTAGACTATAGCCAGCAATGCCGGGAACCCTGCACGATGAAAAAGTCGTTATTTATACACTGAATGTAGTTATTATTTCGCAGAAACCACTTAAATATCGCAGTGTACCAACTATTACATAGAAAAGTGGTTATTTTTCTTTTTAGTTTTTTTACGGAAATGTAGCTCGGTCTTACGCGATAAACTATCCGAGTAGAAAGATAATAATTACATCCCCTCTTGCACAAAAGTTTCTGGTGCACAGAGTTGTTACTTTATTGTTCTACTTTACCTTCTCAAGCCCTTAACATGATGTTGAGTGATGTGTTTTTTTTAGCTATAATCGCTTATAATAATTTATTTTCTTTCACGTTCTCCCCTCCCCGCATCCACCCCTTCCCCAGCACAAACATCTCTCCTGTATGCACGACTCGTGTTGCATTCTCCGCGTTGAAAATTCGCACCGAATAAAAATATCTCGTTAATTTCGGCTGCTCTGCGCATGACGTCAGCCGCGATGCTCTGACGCAGCGGTAAATAACGTTGCTCTGACGCAGCGGTAAATAACGTTGCTCTGACGCAGCGGTAAATAACGCTGCCGTGACGCAGCGGTAAATAACGCTGCCGTGACGCGGCGGTAAATAACGCTGTCGTGACGCAGCGGTAAATAACGCTGCTCTGATGCAGCGGTAAATAACGTTGCCGTGACGCAGCGGTAAATAACGGTGCTCTGACGCTGCGGTAAATAACGCTGCCGTGACGCAGCGGTAAATAACGCTGTCGTAACGCAGCGGTAAATAACGTTGCCGTAACGCAGCGGTAAATAACGCTGCTCTGACGCAGCGGTAAATAACGCTGCTCTGACGCAGCGGTAAATAACGCTGCTCTGACGCAGCGGTAAATAACGTTGCCGTGACGCAGCGGTAAATAACGTTGCTTTGATGCAGCGGTAAATAACGCTGCCGTGACTCTACGCGCATGCCGTGACGTGGCGGGCATGATCGGAGTTATGGATTATCGGAGTATGATATATGTGAAACGCGATGCCCCGCTGCACAATCACGATACACACGCGCCAGCTCCTGCGTTTTGCCACGAATAGTGAAATGTGCTTTTCCTTATCGCCAGAATTTGTCGAAATGAGTCTGAAGTTAAACGATAGAGAAACCCATGGCGTGCAAATCCCGTTTTGAGGCCAGACAGAAGCTAAGAGGCAGAAATCCTCACGAAACGAACCGCACGACAGAGATAAAGAGTAGCTAACGTAGGCATGAACGTGACAGCTCGTAACATTGAAGAGAACAGGAAGGATGCTGCAGTGAAAGATGGGAGCAAAAAGTTCAAGGGACCATGGCGAATTAAAAATTGTTTCGCAGCGAGAGTAGGAAGCGGACCGGACGTTGGAAGTAGAAAGAGGCGGGGATCACGCCGGCGATCGTAGACGAGGGGAGACTACTAATGCGCCCAGCATGCTTTGCGCCGATGCGCATCACGTCCCTAATTACAAAAGAGTCAATTACCCCGAATCAATCATTTACAGTCACACAAAAACGAGCGAGTTAGACGCGAATACGAACCTAATAATACCACTCAAAATAAGTTCATCGCAATTTATGATAATATAAGAGTAGATTTCCTTATTTCATAAATCTATGTAACCTTTCTAAACTGTTATTTACAGGCTAAATACGCGTAGTCCGGAGCAAGTTAGCCACACGAATAGATGTGAGCCAGGCCCGCTTCGCAGCGTGCTAATTAAGTGAGCCCGCTATAAACTGCGTGTGCGCGCGCAATCCGAGGCCAGGCGCGGGATAAATTTCGCTATAAGCATGCGCATCGCGTTAAATCACATAAAGGTACAGTAGCGTATGCAATTTTGTTTTTTGATCTTCACTTCACTAGAGTCTAAATACAACTTGGCTAGAAGAATCTATCCAGAATATGTGGGAAGGCAGACATAGGAAGCTGTATGTTTATACTTCCATTACTGATAAAATTACTCAATTGAATTATTAATTTTTATATAATCGGATAACCAGATTCGATTATACGCCGGTTGCAGTTTCTGCTGCTTATTCAATCACCTGTTAATATTCTTCTTCTTCTGTTATTACATTAATTCAGTTTAAATCCTAATAATTCCATTGGCGGTACCGTTGTTTAAAATGACTACGTCAAGAATTTTCTATGGTTGTTTTTTTGTTGCCATTTTTTTACATGAAAAGTAAGAACTAACGGGACTAAACGTATCGTCGAATTCTTACCTGATAAGATTGTTTCTCAACTAGCTAAAAATCCAAAAAACTTGGACAATTTGATATTAGTGTTCCTGACATTAATTGCTTGCTAGGGGCTATGTATGCGTCACGAGTGTATGTTCACATCGAACAATATAGTAAAATAAGAAGTATAATGCAGCAATTTAACCATAAAAAGTGAACAGAATTACTTAGATTTTGTGAAAAAGTGGAACTATTTTTTTTATTTTTTACTATTTACGGTGACGTAATCACTTTAACTGTCATTGCTGTCTGCTGAGTGACGTACCAAGCTAAACTGAGCATGCGCGGTCTACCCGTGCTAACTTAGCCCGGCTGAGCCCAGTTTGAGTGAGGTCAGCTACGATTTAGCGCGCGCCTGGCCCGGACCTGGCCCGGACTATAGGGTATAGGATGTGTATAGATGTAGGATCAAATTAAGTAAAATAATGTAAATCAATCAAAATACGGGGTATTACACTGATGAGACGACGCGCATGCGCAGTGGTACGCACCCCATCCGACGAGAGCGAGCAGCTTCATGATGTGTTTTTCGGTGACGAAAGCGAACACGATCATCGTGTGCAGGTACATGCCCTCGCAGAACATCCACAGGTAGTTGCACGACATGAAGTACTGGTTAACGACGTGTAGCACCTGACACCACACCTGCCGATTAAGTAACGCTGAGCACTTAACGCCTGCACACCGCGCGCACTCCGCGCGCGCTATATCTATTACCGACATGACCGCACGTGGCACTGCCGTCGCTACACGTTATTAGTATTATTAAATTTTTATTGCATGTAATTTAAATACATACATGTACTGAAGACTGTCTTTTTCATGGATAAAAAATCTGATGAATGCATAAGTGTTGAGAAGTTAAAAAAACAGTACAGCTGATCAGCGATGAAATTGTAAATAGAGTGATTTAGAGTTCGATTTAGTCGTTTTTATGCAAGTCTGTGCAATCTATTATAGATCTATGCAAAAGAACTTTGATCATTTGGTTGCGTTGTGTAGCAGGTGCAGGAGAAAGCATTATGCGCGTGTATCAAGGGTTTGTGTCGAATCGTAATGATGGGCGGGATAGTCAGGATGAGGGAGCTAGTTAAGGGTTGTATGATGGGGTTAAATGCTTTAGACGGAGAATTTCTCTCACTCTCTCTTTCTTTCTCTCTCTCTCTCTCTCTCTCTCTCTCTCTCTCTCTCTCTATCTTTGTGTGTGTGTCTCTCTCTCTACCTTTTTCTATTTCTCTCTCTCTCTCTCTCTCTCTCTCTGTCTTTCTCTCTCTCTTTCTCTCTCTCTTTCTCTATCTCTTTCTTTCTCTCTCTATGTCTGTGTGTTTGGTGTGTGTGTGTGTGTGTGTGTGTGTGTGTGTGTGTGTGTGTGTGTGTGTGTTTACGTGCGTGTGCGTATGTGTGCGCACGCGCGTGCGTATGTGGGTGTGCGAGCCCGCGTATGTGTGTGTCTGCGGCATCGCGTGTGTGCGTGTGCGTTTGATCATTTGGTTACGTGGTGTAGCAGGTGCAGGAGAAAGCATTATGCGCGTGAATCACGGGTTTGTGTCGAATCGTAATGATGGGCGGGATAGTCAGATATGAGGGAGCTAGTTATGGGTTGTATGAAGGGGTTAAATGCTTTAGACGGAGAGTTTTTCTCTCTCTCTCTCTCTCTCTCTCTCTCTCTCTCTCTCTCTTTCTTTCATTTCTCGCTCGCTCGCTCACGCGCTCGCTCTCTCTCTCGCTCTCTCTCTCTCTCTCTGTCTATCTCTCTCTCTCTCTCTCTTTTTCTCTCTCTCTCTCTTTTTCTCTCTCTCTCTCTTTCTCTCTCTCT